GGCTAAATGCGGTTCTTTCTACCAACTCTCCGCATCGGTAAGGGAAACGCTCACCGGCGGCACGGACGCGAGCGCGGCTGGTGACATGAAAGTGACGTCGCAGCTGCGGCAAACCGGAAGGAAGGACAACCAGTGGCTAGCGACGCTGCCACTTTGCTCAACTGGGTTTCTGGCACTATACCAACTTGTTCAATAAGTTATGCCGCTAGCGAATGATTCTGCTACGCGAAGGCACAAGGAATTGGATTTTTCTGAAAATGTAGTAGTCGAGACTTTTATGTGTAAGCTCTTACCATTAGGGGTCTACATTAGGGGTACACAGTCAAGGTGGAGTTGATTAACAAGTTCTCCAAACTCGATCTCTACTTACCTCTACTTATCATCACAGTGAAAAAAGAGCACGATCAATGTTCGGAGCACTCATTTATTGATAGTAGAGCCGGCCTTTGCTTGTGCCCTGGCCGCCACAGTGACGTCACCAACACGCGTACGCGTGCGCGCCGCAGCTGAGCTTTTCCATGGAGCCTTGGTAACCAGGGCGAACCGATCGAGTATTCGTCGACGAATCGTCGAGAATTTTCACCTGTTCAGTCACGCTCTCCCGCGCAGTCATTCACTCTCGCCACGCGCGAGCCGTCTGTGCTCTCCCGCGTACATTCACTCTCTCACATATGCACAGACATTGTATAAAAACCAACGATGGGAAGCGCCCCAACTGAACCAGGGGTAAAATTGGTCAGAATCGTTTGTTATATAACATGTAAGCGTCAGTGATGGGAAGTAGAAGCATGAAATCCATAAGAAAATCTCTGATAACCATGATTTCCCTAATGGACAGAAATAAATCCTCTCTAAGGTCTTATTTGTAGCGATCACTTCATCCTTGCTCATCCTTGCTCATCCATCTAATCTAAGCCAAGTCATCTGAACATGACTAAGTAAAGCTTGAAATGGATCATAGGATCCAAGTAATTACGAGGGATTTGCTGATGCAACGCAGACTCGTGCCACCGCTGAGTCAGCAAAACAAGACACTCATTTATTCGGAATAAACACCTCTGATTCAACGCTGCTGCAGGAAAAGGATTACTCTTGCAGAGGAAGGAAACGGACTCTCCAACAGCAAATAAAAATCCACGAAACATTCGAAAGAGGGACAGAGTGAACAGGATCAACATTGTTTCTACTACCATATTCTGCTTGTTTTGAAGGCAAAGTTCGGGCTCAGACCCACCTTAGAAAGCCCTTACCAATGCTATAAGTGCTGGGCACCTAAGTCAAAATTAGCGCCACCTTTCTACATCGAAACCGTCACCAGGACCCTAGGCGCCATGAACTTTAACAGACTCCACCAAACTTAACATGGTCCGCCCACCGATTCGATGTCTTGTCTGCGTCGCACGTTGATCTGCTATGCTCTGCTCTTCTCGGAATTCTCTACCAGCCTCTGCGCCACACTATTAACTGACTCCTGCCTGTTTTTAAAGGAAGTGGTCACGATAATTTTCATGGGAACGATAAGGAAGCTATGTATTGGAGTGGATAGAGGTCCTGCCCAGTGTTACAACACGTGAAAGTTTCAGTGGCAGTGGCGCCTTATCAACGGAGTGATAAGGCGCCGAAATCCACTTCCGTTCAGCAAAAACCAAGACTTATCGATGTGGAAAGGGGTGCGATAAGAGCGTGCTAGATATGATACCGTTATCGTTATCCCCCGTCCCGCATTTTTCATTCTGGAGTGCACCTCAAGCAGCCGCACCTTCTTATCTCATCGTATCATATCTTCCATGGGCTTACACTCGTCCAACAATTACTGCCTCACACCTTATCGATTGATAACGCGAGGGTAGCAAATCCAGCGTGGAAGCCAGCGTGACCGCTTCCTTTAAACAGCACAACCAATGAGCAACAACACTCATATTTCCTATGTATTTCAGGAATTTTCTTCCCTGTTTTCTCCATTGGCAGTCCACCTCTCATCCTTACAGTCGATATCTCGAAGTCAGATTAGGCGTGGCTATGGATTTGACGTGGCCGTTACCGCACTTGATAAAGCCGTGTGTGATAGGCTGTTTCTAACATACTCGTTGGATATCAGCAAAGCATGCTGGAAGCAGCTTATCCGCGCAACTTCCATCAAGTGCGACGTCTTACCACGACATATAGACACGCCTAATCTGACTTCGAGATATGGTAAGATACTTTCACATTTCAGTGGGATCAACCCATCAATGTAATCCTGATTCTTGTTTTTAAAGGCAAGATCGGGATAAAATAGGTGTCTAAAAGCGTTTAGTTATGAGCTGAGCAGGGTCGTGCCAAAAGAGAAGGGGAAAGCCCACAAAAAAAAGAATTCACTGGATTAACGTACGCTGCATCAGAGAAATCCCCTACTTCAGCCGCCATTCACCTGGAGAGAGCAAGGACGAGTTCACGACAACCCAACTCTAGTGTGCTCTCAGGGTGCCAATGCCACTTGGGTCGCAATGGGAACTGGTGCTCAGACGCGCCGCCAGTCCGCTTTCAGAGCAGCGCATTGTCTTAAAGGCACAACCCAGGCAGAGGTCGTGTGAACTCTTCTCTTCGGTCAGAAGTATAGAACCCTAGGGGACAATCACAAATGTGGCGTTCACGTGCACGGAATTCGACCGACAAGAACGCTTTGGGCTTGCAAAGTAAGCTGCTCGAGCTGCAGCGAACGAGCTCTCTTATCAGGCCGTTGTCTGGTGCTCTCTCATCTGATGCGCTCTCTCGCCCCATACTCTCCTCTTCGCGCTTAGTCTCTCGTTCCTTTAGCACAGCCAATTAGGAAGGTGAGTGAGCCCTCAACCTGAGCGTTTTCGACGGATTCTTTTCCTTTTTTCTTCACTGCCGGCCCACTTGGCACCGATACATTCACATTCGTGTGCAAGAGCCACACCAGTGCGATCCTGGGGCATGCCTTTAAGAAAATGAGCGGTGGCTGCTGTACGAAGGGCGTAGGAGCCGCGGATCGGACGAGTCTTGCGTCTTCGTTGCGCACTTTGAAGTGACAAAGGGGGCGCGACATCAACGCTTGTGCCGCCTGTCTACTAACTCCGGGATGGGACAGGCGAGCGCGCTCAATCCGGGAGTGTGCCTTCAAAGAGCAAAACACGAAGTGTGTATGCTTTCCCTTTATTTTGCAAGATGCCGTTCAGTTGTACTTTCTTGATCACTAGAATTACTTTACAATTTTTATTTTGAAATCTCAATACCGAAAGAAAGTCAAAAGAGATCCCTTGGAATATAGGATAAAAGCGCAGTGTAACAACTGTCTTCAGGGAACGCTTCGCCTTTTCTTACTACTAATGGTGGAAGTGTGGCGGTTTTTGAGTAGGATACGGCTCGTAAAACGACCTGCGGGTGTAGTGATGCTGATATACAAGTCATTTTATGTGACCGACCAAATCTGGCAGTAAACAATAAATTCGGGACCTAGGAAGGCTCAGTTGACTTGAGCAAGATTCAATTCTGGATCTGACCCTCGGCCAGTGCTCGTGGTAAGCGATGCAAGCACACACCTTCGATCAAGACTTGAGATTGGATTTACGCGTTTGCGGTTCTGTGACGCGTGTTATGCGCTTTAGGCCGCGTGGGACGGGTTGGCACAATTTCGCGCCACATCCACGCGGTTCGTAAAAAACGCGTGTTCGTACACGCCATATGGCCGATGTCAGACTTTGCGAATCGCGCGATTCGCTAGCGTCCGCGGTCGCGTTGCGGTACCAGCCAATTGAGTGATTCACTGGCCGCGACGCGACCGCAGACGCTAGCGAATCGCGCGATTCGCAAAGTCTGACATCGGCCATAGCGAAAAAGAGAGCGATACTTCACCACCTAGGCACATATATTCCCGGTTCTCGGTTGACGGCTTGTTTAGACTCATGTTGGACCGCTGTTTTAACCTACGACGCCATTAGGCGTTTTCAATAAAAAAAATGATGCTTGGATTTGATCAATTTCTTCATGCATTCGCTTCCTGTCGGAATCGTAGAAATTCTCAAGATTCAATAACGCAGAAGAAAATATTCCTTCTAATTTCCCTAGCGTTTGCAAAGTAACGAAATTCCTAAAGTCTATGAAATTCGTCCGCATTATGCTCAAAAATTCTGCCAAAGTTCGAAGGACAAAACAAAGAAAAGAAACTGACCGAAAAACGGAACACATGGAGGATTGATGGACTGAATACGCTTCTGCATCTCTATGTAACGAGGTTCACAGAGTTTCGCAAAACGGTCGTATGTCTTCACCTTCTCATGGTCGAGACGCTGAAAATTTCAAATCTTCCAGTAGATTCAAAAGAATTGGATAATTTAATTCTTGAGAAAATAAGGCACTGAGCTTATTACCACCTCTATTCAGAAGTTTTGCGCTAGGGACAATGCAGCCGGGGCAGCCTGCGGTCTGCCGACCGCATGAGACGTAGGAGGCCATCTCCTGGCAACAGATACTAAGCCTTTGTTTCCCCTTCATTTTTTTCGAAAATCTTGCTTCTTGATCACGTGCTAAGTTATATTCTTTTCAATTTCCTTGATGAATTTCCTTGAGACTCGACCGCAATCCACACCCCCGGCGAAACCGTAAAAGTTGCGGTCTCCAAGGGTTTAAGCCAATGTTCCCGAAGATATCCATGATTCCATCGCCACTCATAAATGCATTGGCCTGAATCTAATGGTTCACGAATAAAGCACGAAATCGTACAAAAAATCGCCTCAGTAATCATGAACAATTGAAAAAACAGAGACTACACACGTCCAATTTCCGCCATACCATCGTCACAATACGCTGGCCGCTGAGTGGTCTCACTTGGTCCAATGTGCTCATCACAGGAACTCTTTTAGCCTTCGACCATTTTGGCCTAATATCTGTTACACTTCTCCTTACCTTCTTATCGATTCACTTGCCTCTGTTTCCCGAAATCGAACGTTCATTAAGATTCTCAATCCCCGCCTGATTCATGTCCCCAAACACTTTGTTTCCATTGCGCTCCTTATGCGCCTGACCTACCTCGAGCGTCGCACCTTAAATGGGTTTTTTTTGTAACTTTATTCTCTTCGGGAACCTGAATTTCGTGCAGGAACGTCCGTATTAGCTCTATGATTATACATGACATATTTAATGAAAAGAATGCACAGAATTCCCTTAAGATTCCCCGGATATAAAAAAGCGCTAGCCATACCAGAACTATAGAGTGCTAAAGACCACTGAACATAAGGCGGAAAGCGGCTTCAATGGCGTCAGTGCTGAGCGACGTTTGGTAGGACAGCTTCCTTAGCGCGCTGAACGGTGGATGGAGACCACCTTCCGACAAAATTCCTCAACGACGCGAAAGCATTGCCAAAACTGTTCGGCCTCTCAGTCATTGTGTTCAATGCCTTTGATAAAGATTTCCAAACTGAGTTTTTACACCCTGAAAATTTTATTTTTCAAAGTGTACACAAGGAATTTCTGAGCTCATAGTGTGGTTCGATTCCGTCGTTTTCTGGCGATCCACTTCGCATATCTACTTCCATTAAAAAAATAATTACATCCCATGATTGTTGAATGTGAAGTTAAAGCCGGTACTTCCAGGATTCGAAAATTAACGTGAAATCTTACAGATCGCCTCAAAACAGCCCTGCTCGGCAAATTGAGCGCTATAAATCAGTGTGTGCGCTGTCAAATTTGTAGTTCATTGCTGAGACCAGTTGTTCTTGTTATGAATAATATAATACTTTTGGCGCTCATGTCCTTGAAGTGGGGCATTCAAAACAGGGCCGATGGTAGGTGAGACTAGGACTAAGCCCAGCAAAGGGGAGAAACGCCAGGGAGAACACAAATTGCTCACATGCTCCCAGGATCCCTTCTCCTTCCTAGGCTTAGTCCCAAGCACAGTAATGGCTCACTCACTTGGATGCCCCCCCCCCCACTCCCGAGGCAAGAGCGCCATACGTTTTTTTTTTGAGAAAAAAAATTATCAGGAAATCGCTTATGACAAAAAAATCGGGGCGAACAGGAAGGTAAGGATATTCCCTGGGAATGTAGGCAGTCTTACGTATGGAATTTCAGATGAAGAATTTATAAAACTAACCTCCCAGCACCAGGTAAGCCGATGAACACATGCTGAATTGAGAGCAGACTGGAAAGCTACAAGTCCTGTGAAATTGTGAAGCTCTTCGAACACTGACATAACCTGAACAAGGATTATCATCATTGCTGGCTCAGTCCGTTCATCTGTTTTCAATTTGAGATGATTCCTTCACATATTTTATCTTATCAATATTTATTATAGTTTACCGACTCCACAGATCAGTGAGGCTAGTTGTAACTTCACCGTCCTTTGAAAGAAAAACCCTCACTAAAATTGGTGGAGTTACAGCGGTCTATAACGAAATCGTGAATGCCTTGACCCAAAAATGAAAAACGAAGCAATGCAAGCCGAAGATGAAGCTCTTAAAATTCCTAAAGCTGCCAAATCTCCATGCGTTTTCTTGCTGTGTCGGATAAAGCCAATCAAAGAAAATGTATTAATGCGGGCAAGAGGTCTTGATTGCAGCGCTGCGCAGAAACCAGGCAACCGTACACGCGGTTGAGCGATTCTTAAATTCGTCAGGACCGGTACTGTTTCCTGCGACCCACACAACGATACGATTATTGACTGTAGAAAATTGTTGAAAATACATATGAAATGCGCACCTCTAGGACACGAGCAACAGGGAGCCACCCGTTCTTCCAGCGATTCCGTCTCAACGATAGACCGTGACACCCAGTATGTTAGCTGAAATTGTGAGCATTACTGATTACTGTAATTGATTTTGACGTAGCACAGTCTCCAGTGAAAGGTGGCCTTCACTCCACTCGGCATTTAATCTTTTACCAGAACACATGAACGTGAGTGCAAGGCCAACCTAGACTCAACGTGGTCCTTTGTTAGATCAAAGCGCAGTATTACGTATATGCTGGGCAAGGGTTTGTCTGGGCCGACGCTCGAGTTTCATGATAACACTATATGAGAACACCCTTTCGGAGGGGGCATTCTAATAATGCTTCTAAAAGCGCTACGCTACTTCGCGATGGGAACTGAGTGCTCATCTTTTGAATTCTCGGTATTTTCCGTGCCTTCCTGACAGGACGTCAGAAGCGCTAGAGGGGAGGAGGCGGTTGATTGGATAGTTCCACAGACGCTCACAATGTGTGGCAAGCAGGGAAATTTTGGCTCTTATCGAAGACGTAAAACAACGCGAACGTCGAATAATAAATAAATAAATAAATAAATAAGTAAAAGTAAGAGCGAAATCAAGAAAAGAAGCATGACAACAAAAGCGGAAAATTTCAAGGAGAATCCACAGAACAGCCTTCTACTCGGGTTATAAAAAAAATCCACATGTGTCCAGAATAATATAGACTTTATTTATCATAATGCATGGCAGAAATAGCCTCAAAGCCTCCTCAAAAGGCCTTCATCATGAAATTAGTCGAACTCACCAATGTCGAATGATCCGTGAGCTTCAATAATTGAGGACTCCTGCGATATTTGTCGTGCTTTGTCCACGCTGCACCGACCAACTCGATCGGTTTTATAGCTCGATAAAGATCGAAGTGAAGAAGGGTTAACTGTAAAAAAATCCCGATTTTTTTCCACTGCAAAAAGATCCTTGCTGAGCGGTAGACATGCCTCGCCAGACAGTGGGCGCCGAATATGGAGCGACACGATATTAGACGAGGGACATGGCGATACGAGCGAGACGCAAGACATCATTGCACCGCAAATGGAAAGGTGCTACTTGGGAATGTGTAAACACAAGCCTAAAAACATTCACGAAGGAGGGGGGAACGACTAAATTTGATAAATGCAGAGTATGAAATAAGAAATCATGAGCAAGGTTGAACCTCGTCTTGACCGATTTTGAAAAATAGAGGAACCTCCTCCCACCACAACCTCACCATTATGCCAGCTTCTACAGTATATACAGCGTATTTTTCGAAGGGCTTCCCAACGATAGCCACATTTTCTTCCTAAATGACCGTCAAAAGCGGGCAGGGATGCAGTAACAGTCTATGGAGCGAGCGATGGCTTCAATTTTTCTTATTTTCACGCGTCCTCGAAGAAAAAAAAACGTCTAAGCGACTCTCTCGTTCACAGCAGTTGCTTCAGCCTTTACCAAACACACTTACAAGGGGGACTTCAGGGCAAGCATTTTGGAAACGGTTTTTTCTTGCATATTGTAGGGACGCATGTATGGACCACAAAACCGTGTTTCGTTTTCGCTGAACGGTTTTAGTAGTATCAAAAAAGTGGTGAATGATACCCTCGATGGTTCGGTCCCCGCGGCGACTAAATTTTGCAATCAAGGTTGGCGGCCACTTGGTGGCTTCAAAATGGTCCTGACGATGAATTTGACATCTGATTTTGATATTTAGCGCGATTTGGCACCAAACCGTAGGCGCCAACCCAAATGCAAAATTTAGTCGCCACGGGGGATCGAACCCTTAACAGTACCTTATGCTTCTTTTTTGGTACTGCTAAAACCGTTCAGCGAAAATGAAACATGGTTTTGTGTTCCCTACATGCGTCCCTACAATATGCAAGAAACCGTTTTGAAAAAGCGTGGCTTGCCCTGAAAGACCTCCCTTGTTAGTTGTGCAGTGATCAAGGAAAAAAATCATGAGAAACGCGCTCCAGAACACGGAAATGGACCGGCCTTATTCGTATAGTTGATTTCGCACTGATGGTGGATTCTATCGGTCATGCGCCTTTCAGTGCATGCTTCTCTGCGTCAAATGGCTAGAACAGACGGCGAAGCGGACAGCGACAGGGAATTACTGCTAGAGGGAAGGGGGCGAGCTACACTTGGCGGTGACCGCGCACCGTCCGCGGCCGAAAGAAGGTTCCGAATACCTCTTAACTAGGCATATTACCCCTTCGTCAACCCCGTCCTTATCGTGGAATCCTCCATCTTCAATAACATCAAATACGACCCTCTTCGAAATTCGTAGATGAGACTCCCTCGCCTGGCTCGACAACGTGGAAGGTACAATATCAGGTCAGGAGGATTGAAAAAAAGGTCTTGCTGCAAAGGTCTGAGTCTAACTTGTCATCCGTACTCCGGAACATATCTTGTCGCACAGTTTAGAAACATATTCGCACCTGTCTGCCAATCTCCAGTGGATGCAACGTCAGAAGATCGTAATTGGCCACATCTCCTTGTTTGGCAGCATGCCAAACAGGCTAAAACTGCCATGATTAAAACAGATACCTAACATTTGGGAAAAAGAAAACTTGTACCTCCGGTTTCTTAGGCTGGAACGCATTCGTATCCTCAAAATCAAACGCGGTATTCACATGACCCTCAGATTCCTGCTTGTTTCTGTTTCTTTTCTATCAACGTCTGAAAAGTAGGAAAAGCTCGTCCAATACAAAATTCTCCTTGACCTAAATGAATAAAAAAACCCACTATTATATTTTTGCAAAACTTCTTGTGCTGGTTGGTCAATTTCTGGTCACAAGAAGTCTGAAGAAATCGTTCGAGAGCCTCCAGAAGAGTTGAGTCATTCTCAAAATCGTACCAGTGGTTCTTCACCCACTGATGTAGAACGCTCAAAACCCTAAAACAGAATGGATTCTCAAATTCAACTACCTCTATGGGGGGGGGACAAAAACATACAAAGAAAACACTGATGTGATCGGGCATATGCCTCACTCAGGATGCTTAGTAATTAAAAATAAAAAAGAAGGGTAGGCTAATTCTAGTGCACCTCCTCTGTATCGGTCGCTCGTATTCCTTTCGAAATCGTTGATAGCTCTGTTCACTGTACGCGGAAAACATCAGACCTCCTGAAAGCCCATGAGACTGTACTGTATCGTAACGTCCAGCCAATGGACCGCCTCTGGAAATGGGTAGCTTATTTTATTTCAGTAATCAAAACTCTGTTACGTTACAATTATTATGACAAAAAAACGAACCTCATTTCCTGATTCTGAAGCAATTTGTTGGGTATCGGTACATTGAACCGTTCAATGAGCATCTCCAGCAATTCGCTAGGTGTACAGAACGAGCGATACGAAATTAGGAATGTTTGAAACGTATTATTGTCCGTGTACCGTGAAAAAAACCATCTTCATGATTAATAATATTTAGAACTAAAATAAAGAATTAGTTCATTCATGCACAATTCCATTAATGAATCTGGAATTTGTGTCTTCCAGATTTATAGCTTGCTTATGCATAAAATGAAGAAAACAAACGTCTACTGAAATTTGAACGGCTCCTTACGTGAGCAGAAAGAATGACAAGCGCTGGGCAGCTTTAACTCCAAAAGGACACCCTCCAAAGGTCAAAACTAAATTTTTGGGTTTGAA